CTGTCATGAAATACGTTTTCTCTGAACTCAATTTCCATAGGTAGCTTAAAAAAAAAAAGCCAGCAAAAATGGAAGTTGAGTCCTGAACTAAATGTATTAACACCACTTTGTCATCAGGAGGGGTTGGTGCGCCCATGCACTCACCTGGAAAACACAGTGAAACGGCTGGAAACCAGGACTCATTATGGGGCAAAATGGCTAAAAACATTCTTACATCTTTTTTTTTTAAAAAAAAAAAAACAGCGTTTTCTCCCCCTGTCCCCCAACGGCCACAAAGTTACTGAAATGCAGACCAAAGGTTACTAACACTGAAGCAATGCAAAAGTTCTCCTAGAGACACACTCATCACTCAAACTTTCAGCATGAACGAGGAATTCAAACACGGAAAGGCTCTGAGCAGGAGACAAAAGAGAAAGTCTGCTAAACCCGCCGATATTTCTGCAGCGACACCACGGGCTACAGGACGGGACCCTACATGTGAAATCCCCAACTGGCTCTCTCATTCAATAGGACAACAAATGCCTTTGTCCACTAATTGTACATGTCATCGATCTCAAAAGCCATAAAACACAGCTGAGAGTCACTAACAGGGTATCATTGTTGCAAGGTAATGGAAACATTTTCCCCTTTTTGGGGGAAAATGGACTGCCCAGCGGAGTTTACACACAGCGCAGTGAGTCATTCAATACGGTGCCCTGCCGAGCACACGCCTCGGTGGTGGCTTCCTAGTTTTAGGTGCTTTACAAATAAACACGCCCGGAGACGAGGGAAAAGACTTTACTTACTTTACATTGAAATCCAAATGTCTGGGGAAATCTATTTTGCCGGCAAGGATTTTTTGATAAATGCCAAATGGATTGTCATCAAAAAACGGAGGGAACCTGTTGGGAAAGTAAACATGTGTGGTTAGCGGGCGGCAAGTATGGAAAAATCCCCATGTTGGAACCACTGCTATTTCTGCTTGGCAGACGCAGGGCGGAAGTGACTTCCCGTGCACCCTTTCCTCGCCTGCTGTGGTCCTATCAGAGGACACACCGGGAAGGGACGGTTCTAACAGGCAAAGCTGCAGCCTGAGGCACAGCAAACGCCCGTGGAGATGGGGCAGCCACGGTGACACCATTTGACCAGCTATTGTGACACCTCCTGAGGCATTAAACGTGTCAGTCCCATTAGACCAGCGGTTCTCAACCTGTGGGTCGCGACCCCTTTGGGGGTCGAACAACCCTTTCACAGGGGTCGCCTAAGACCATCGGAAAACACATATTTTCGATGGTCTTAGGAACCGAGACACCGCTCCTCTATCCGTCTCCAGGCTTCAAGACAAAATTTCATTTATTTGTAATTAGAAATAAAAATTTCACAATATATAATTACATATTGTTTCTGTGATTCATCACTATGCTTTAATTATGTTCAATTTGTAACAATGAAAATGCACCCTGCATATCAGATATTTACATTACGATTCATAACAGTAGCAAAATGACAGTTATAGAGTAGCAACGAAAATAATTTTATGGTTGGAGGTCACCACAACATGAGGAACTGTATTCAGGGGTCGCGACATTAGGAAGGTTGAGAACCACTGCACTAGACCATGAGTGGACGTCTGTATTCGTCATACATAGAGCACACAGTGGGTGCTTATATGTATGTCACAAGTATGTGGCACACAGTGGGTGCTTATATGTATGGCAGACATATGTGACACACAGTGGATGCTTATATGTATGGCACACGTATGTGGCACACAGTGGGTGCTCAATAAATGTGCACAGATCAAATGGAAGAGGATGCGTTACACACAGTATCCTATTTTTTGTTTTTCCTGGCTCCAGTAGTGTATAATTTCATAGAAGCCAATACCTGAAATTCCACAGTTCTGTAGATGGATTCACCTAGATTATACGTTGGGAGGTGGCAACAAGGCTGGTTTCCAGTGTGTGAGACTTGGGGCGCAAATATGTGGCCCAGGAGTTGAAAATTATGGCCCCCGGCCTGGTTTTGTCAATAAAGTTTCATTGGTACACGGCCAAACCCATGCGCTTATGTACTGTCTGGGCCAGAGTTCCCAGAAATAAGATTGTAATCCTGATAAAGAAACCAACAGACCTACGTTTTCTAATATCTGGAAGTAGGAAAATAAAATCAGAAATAAGCTAACCTAGAAATATACTTAAATTGGTAAAGACCAAGAAAATCTAGAAGTTAACCAATAAATCTAGAAGTTACCTATGTGCCGTTCAGCACAAGTTCTACTTTTAATACTGACTCCTCTTGGGCAAAAGACCCTCAACTCAAAAGCATAACCTCGACCTAGCTTCTTCAGGACGAGGTCCTGTAATTCTGGTGAAACAAGCCATTAAAATATCGCAGATAATTGGAGTTTTCACATGACATCCTGGTCAGAGGTGGAAATTTCAATGAGCAAAGATGGTCCCTCGTCGGTTCCAAATCCATCCCCGAGTACAGTGGGTGGGATGGTGGCCTCCAACAAGACGTCTCCACATTCTGACCCGGAAAATGCGTGAGTCAGACCTTATCTGGAAACACGGTTTTTGCAGATGGGACTGAGTGAGGGATCTGAGAAGAGGTCGTCCTGGATCAGGGGGGCCCTGACCCTAATGACAGTGTCCTTATCAGGGACAGAAGAGGAGAGACACAGACACAGAGGGGACGCCACGTGGAGACAGAGGCAGAGACGGGGGGAGGCGGCCGCCCAACCAGGGACGCCTGGAGCCCCCAGGAGCTGGACGGGGCAGGAGGGACCGTCCCCTGGGGTCTCCGGAGGGAGCGTGGCCCTGGGACAGCGTGGTGCCAGCCTCCTGGCCTCCAGGACTGAGAGAAAATAAACTTCTGTTGTTGAAGCCACCATGTTTGTGGTCACGCACAGAGTGTACACGTTAAGGCTCCAAGCACATTAGGGAGGACTGGAAAAATCGAAGGAAAAAATGAGGAACTGAATGACGGAGGACACAAATAGAAATCAGGAGGAAGAGGAGGTAGGTTAATTGGGAAGACAGAAGCTCTCAAAGAAACGTCCAGCTGCAGCCTTGGGTGGCGCGACATGAAGTAGCCCATCTGTCTTCAGTAACATCTCAGATGCTCGGGTTCACACTGTGGCGTGAACAGAGGCAGTGTTGAGAAGGTGACGGCCGCACCTCTTCGAGTCTCCGACTGTAAGGTCTCCTAACTACAGCTGTTTGTCTGCTTGTGCATCTAGACTCACGAGCTACCGCGTAATAAGAAGCGATGCAGCCCGGGCGGGGTAGTCGAAGTCTCCGTGTGGACGGTCATCCACTCGGTCACCTCTCAGCTGCTGACTCCCGTGTCTGCCCTCCGTGCCGTCTGCCAGACGCTCTCTCCAGCCAGGCTTGGGGGACCCGACTCCTCGCTCTTGGGTGGCGGCCCTGAGTACAGTCAGCCGGGTGACTTCATCGGGGAAACGTTCAACGTTGGGAAACGGAACATTAAACATCATGAGAAAACGTGTCATGCAGACCTAAACACACTGACGAAGAATATCAAACAAAGCCCTCCTGGGATCCAGGCATCCCGTGACTGTATCATGGGAAAGGCATGTTAGCAGGAGTCGAATGAGCAGGGGAGGAAAAAAAAAGAAAGAAAGAAAGAAAGAAAAAGAAAACAGCAGAGCTTTCCAGAAAGGATAAACATAGAGAACAAACCGTCCCCTGGGTGAGTGCAAAATGGCCTAAGAATTCCTCATGTGTCTGTGTTAAATGCAACACACACTCTGATTATTAACAAACAGGTGATGCGTGCTCGTTGTAGGGGACGGATGGTGTAAGCGGCTGAGTTACCTACAGGGAGAGGTGGACTTGGAAACACAATGAGCTCAGAAGTCGGCAGCCTCAAGAATTTCATCTTTGAAATTCACGACCGTTTTGGCATTTTCTTCATCCATCTGTCCATCACCACTCGTAGGTACCCGCTCTGCCGACCTAAATCGCCCAGTAAAATGGGCTGTCCAGGAAGAGGTGCCATAGCCGTTGTAACCCCATGTTCCTCTTCAGAACCCCGCCACACCCTGAGGCCCCCGTTAGAGACACTTGACCCTAAGCTATCAGCCAAGCGCTTTCTCTGCCCACAGTATTAAAACGGGGAGCTGGCACTGGGAGGCAGGTCCTTTGGCATGGGTTCGAGGAAAACACGAAGGAGTTTCTGGAGACAGAACAGAAAGGGAGCTGCTGCAATATTACACTGTTCTGACGTCTTTCTCAAAGATCCGCGCCCGGATAGGCGGGGATAAAAAAATTGCATTCCTCAGGAAAAACACGGGATGGCTGGCATTGGAGACGGAAGAACGGAGTGGAGGCAGGAGGAGTGGAAGAACAGAGCACCAGGCTCTGCAAGCGTTGGGGGACAGTACAGAGTAAGATGGAGTCCCAGGGCACCCTGTCTGGGGCATGCCCAGCGTGATTCCCAAAGTGGGGTCCCAGGGAACCCCGGGGTTCCCCAAGGCCTTTCTCTCTAGGAGCTTTGACTCTGAAGGTGGGTGTATTTTCCTCATATACCTCCACCAAAACAACGCAGCATACCAGGCGGGGCACGTCAGACGACAGGAAAACCCCAGTGGCCCGGATGCTCAAGAGATTAGCAAACGTACTGAAACAAGGCCACTCTTCTAAGTATTTTTAATTGTAGGAAGTAGAGTGGTTTTTCCATTAAAAATCCTATTTGGGGTCATTGTTAGTGAGTTTATTATTATTTTATGTAAATGACATAGACAGCTATATATCTTCAAGTTTTCGTTTCCAACGCCGTCAGCAGAGACAGATGTAACCCACGGAGATGAACGCTCGTCGGAGTTGATAGCTTTTAGGAGTGTTAATAAGTTTTAGAAACGTAATGACTTTTAGGGTAGACGGTTGTTGAAGACTTTTAGGGTCTGGCTAAGGTTCCACGTGGGTGCGGCTCTAAACGCAGACAAATCTCATCTTCCCTAAAAACTGGTTCGTGGGGTTCAACTCTCTGCAAGGATGGGTGTGATAAGCCCGTGAATGGTTTTGTTCCGGAATGCGCCAGACATGTCACATCTGACGTCAACATTTCTCATTCCATAAAAAGTAAAATGCCGCTCGTGCTACGCTCACACGCCATCACCACACAGCAGGGTTTACCCCACGACTGGGTTTTTCTTAGACTGCATAAAAGACCTAATCAAGCCGTGAAAGCCAGAAACGAACAGACAAAAGCAGCGTCTCGCCTGATCCTGCAAAGGGTGCAAATATAGAAAATGGAAACCGAATATGCCAGCTGGAGACAGGGGGACATTGAGCCAAGGGAACACCCTGCAGGCGCCTGGTGACATGAGGCAACAGGACGCCCAGCGAATCCGGAAGAGGGGCCTGGCCACCATGTGGGGTGGTCGTATCTCGTACAGGCCACCTCAGAGCCTCATCTAAGGAGCTCTGGGTCTTGGCACTCGAGAGCTGCAAGGCCCCGGGGAGGGGTGACGTGGCCTGGCTGCTGTGGGCTGCTGCCAGGGAAAGGTGGCACGGGCAGCAGCAATCAGCTGGATGAAACAGTGGGGAAATTCGGAAGGGGGCCAGGTGACGGCTGAGGCTGGCAGGAAGGGTGAGGCAGGGTTGCAGTGTGTGCCAGGATGGATGGCTCTCAAGAAATCCACCCTGGGCCGGCCGAGTGGCTCAGCTGGTTAAGAAGTTGTGCGCCCAAGAGTGCGAGCTTTGAGCACCGGGGTCGCCGGTTCAATTCCCGGCCCGAGCTGAGCTGCCAACAGGTGGCAGGATGGCTCAGCTAAAAAAAAAAAGAAAAGAAATCCACCCAGAAAACCTGGCTTTCTCCACCTGGAACGGAGGACAACGGGAATATGCTTATTGTGAACACACAGCCAGCTGCCTCGTACGAAATGATACGGGTAGCTTACTATCCTCTGGGGTAGGGAAGCTTTAATTACTCACAGCCCGTTATTCTAATAGAGCTTAACAATGTATCAGTTTCGAATTATATTATTTCCTATTCTATTCCTAGTATTATTCTATTAGACCATTAGAATATCCTATAGCTCCTATTCGATTACAATAACAAAAAGTCTATTTTCTAATACCGTAATATAGTCAAATATTATATCCTAGTCATATTCTTATAATTCTAATCATTACTTTATAGAATAACCCGAATGGAATAACTCTCCTATAGCCTAACATTATACTCTCATTTTATTCTAATAATTTTCTATTATAGTCCATCATGTTCAACAGCATATCACGCCATAATATTGTTTTTGCTATCACATCACATATCTACTAGTCATAGCACATATTATGCTCTGTAATATTGTATTCTACCCTGATAATAAAGACAAAGAAAACACGTGGACCTCATCAATTTAAATACCACCAGAGCCAGAGTTCAATTGTCTGCAGGCTGCACTGCCCTCCAGTGGCCGTAAAATTCCAGCAGGAAAACGTGGTGCTGGCGTCTTGAGGAGACGCGGATGGATATGGGAGCATATTTACCACTGCTGTACCTGCTTGAAGGATTGACCCTATATGTGATTTACTTTAACCTTTTTCTTTGCTTGGGGTCTTCCTGGGCTACGGTATACATTAAGAAATGTGGTTCTATGTGATTCACTAGAAATGTTTGAGTAAATATAACGGAAAATTCAAAAGACTAGACACATGGTAGATATAGATAGATAAATGATAGATTGATACATGATAGATGATAGATCAATGATAGATGATAAATGATAGATAAATGATAATAGATAGATAAATGATAGATAGATACATAGATGATAGATACATAAATAGATAGGTAGATACGTAGATAAAGAGATAGATACATAGACAGATAGAAATGATAGATAATAGATGGTAGATAAATAGGATAGCAATGATTGATGATAGATAACTACATCATACATACATGCTAATAGGGATGACAGATTGACAGGTAATAGACAGGGATGATAGACAGATGACAAGTGGATGGATACAAAGGTAGCTGACTTAGGAATACGCGGAGATGGATGGTAGACAGACAGACAATGAACCCAGGTTTCCAGGGTCCACTCAGGCCGGCCGCGCCCTCAGTGTAAAAGACGGCCCCTTTCCATCCTCCTTTCCAACCGAAAGGGAAGGTTTCCTGGTAAGAGCCTCTGGACTTGCCCTGCGTGGAACCCCCCAGGTGTGGCACGGGCTGGCTTTTGCTCCAACCAGAAGCAAGCTTGGTGCATCTGTGAGTCGCGGGCAGGGAACACGCACGCTGAAGACAGAAGGACATACGACAGGAAGGAGGCAGAGAGGCAGCTGGTCCAAGGGCCCCCGCTGGTGTCCTGGGCGCCTCCCGGCTGGCGGTCTGAACGCCGACGAGAGCTTTTCACCCACAGAAGGAGGGTGAGGTCCTCCTTGCTTTCCGTTTCTGGTACAGGAACATCAGACATGTCTGACTCGTAAGCCAGCCTCGACGATGGAGTCTGATGACACCCTGACCAACGGTCCACCTCGCCGGTATCTGTCCCTGGGCCAGGGGGAGACACGACCTTCCCATTCTCTCCTGCAACGCTGGAATGCGATGTTAGGAAAGCGCCCCGTTTCCTCCCGGACACGCTGTTCGTTCAGAAAGCTCTAAACTGTGTTTGATTTGGGTTTATCCAGCCCGTCCGTGTCCCAGCTCCAAAAACAGTCCCCTGTCGAAGGTGAATGTCACATTCCCGGAAGACCGACAGGGACATTTTCAGACGGGATCAAGACCTCCACAGGCGCACACGGCTGATCCTTCACGAAACCAGCCTGTGTGTTTGCTGTTATGAACACAGCCTGCATCGCCTGTCGCACCACTGGCCGTAGAAAACTGCCGCGGGACCACATCCCAAATATCTGTCCCGTGCTCGGGGCTCACAGACGCAGGGCGAGTGAAGGCGGAAGGGGGAAGCCCTTACTTACCCCGACAGCATCTCGAATATCAGGATGCCCAGCGCCCACCAGTCCACCGCTCTGCCGTGACCTTTGCTCTGGATGACTTCGGGGGCCAGGTACTCGGGCGTCCCACAGAGGGTCCACGTCCTGGGGAGAAAGAAGGGCGGCCACAAAACTCAGCCGGGCTGGGCGATGCAGTGGGTGCCCATGAGAAACACCGAACGCTACAGCGAGACGAAACCGACCCCGGCCGTTCCCAGGGCCCACCCTGGGGATACCCTGTCCTGGATGCAGACAGAGCCGGTCTCAGCTGGCCTGCCCCCTCGGGGACCCGGACAGAACCTAAGGAGCGGCCTTGTCAGCATCGGTGCCCTTTGTTCTTGCTGCAGGACACTGTCATTGTCACCCAACACCTGACAAGGCAGAGCCCGGCTTCCTATGAAATGGCATCTAAAAGAAGAAGTCAAGAATTCACGCACCCGGACTCAGAGGTTCACGAGCTCCTGAATCACTCTCAACACAGTATGGAGTTTAGTAAATAATAACGTATCAACTCTGGTCATCAATTGTGACAAACGTAAGACGCTAGCGACAGGGCGCTCGGGAGGTGGGCTGTGTGGGAACTTTCGGCATCATGTTTTCTGTCCATCTAAAACTATTCTCAAAAGGTCATTAAAAAAAAAATTCAGTATTAGTTCTAGTCGACCGTTCCCTCCAAAAGTAAAAATAAAAAATAAATAAAGAAACTATCTTGCCTAATCTTACCTCATTATTTTGGGGTTTAAATTTTAAATATAGTAAAATACCTCCATGTATCTTAATATTAAAATAAAAAAGACGTGTGTGGGTTCTGCTGTCATTTTGAGGGTTTCCGAAGTCCTTAGGCTCAGGGACATGAGGCTATTTGGGGGTTACACAGAGCAGAGAGGTGAGGAAGGGCTTTTCTCTGCAGAGGACAAGAGATTTGCAAAAAAAAAAAAAATGAGCTTCTAGCGCCACCTAGAGCACAACGGGGTAGCCAAGCGGGACCCAGCAGAGACACGGAGTTTTCTGGTTGGCCGTTTGTTTTCCCTGTTTGTTTTTATTCCGGTCATCCGTTCCTGTGAGGCCTGAAATCTCTCTTTTTCACAGCAGGGGTGGGGAGAAGCTGTTCCTTTCTCTCCTTATAAAACAACTGTCTTTATACTCAAAAAAGAGTCACAGCGTTTCATTAAAACCTACAGATGTGTCACGTGTCTGCGGACATCTCTAAATTTTGTGCTGGATGGAAAACACAAGACTGATTTTCTTTTTTTTTTTTTTAAAGATTTTTATTGGTGAATTGGGGGGATGGGAACAGTGCTGGGGAATTGGTGGAAGGGGAACAGGCAAGTTGATGTCGTTTTGTTCTTCAGTCTAGTTGTGGAGGACGTTGCTTCACTGGCCCAAGTTGGCACCATCATTGCGCTCTTCCTGGGCGAGGCAGATCAGTCGCCGGCTTCTGGATGGCCGCTCACTGCGGCTGCTGGCTACACACGGTAGCCCACGGCAACCCACTGCCACAGGGACTGCAGCCTACGCCGTCGCCGGCAACTCATGGCAGCCCAGCTCCAGGTTGAGCTGTTGTTCAGCATCTTAGCTGTAGAGGGCAGTGTCACTGGCCCTCATATGTGGGATCCGAACCGGGGCCCTCTGGCGTCCCAAGTCAGTTCCTAACCATCGCGCCACTCGGCCGGCCCAAGACTGATTTTCTTAACTGTCTCCTCCTTTGTCTATATCACTGGTGGGGAGGGGAGTTGGCTAAGAAAAAAGTCACCTGTAAAAAGCTGAAAAAGGGACAAACGTCCAGTTACAAGATGAAGGAGTCCTGAGGATGCTCTGTAGAGCATGGTAACTCCAGGTGACAATGCTGTATTGTTTATTTGAAAGCGGCTCGGAGAGCAGATCTTCAAAGTCCTCATCACAAGAAAATAACTGTAGCTAGTGAGGTAATGCTTGTTAGCCAGACTTATTCTGGCGACCATTTTGCAATAAATACAGGTATGAAATCATTACAGGGTACACCTGAAACAAATGCAACGGTATGTGTCATTGTATTCACATACCTCACTTCAAAAAAAAAAAAAGGGTAGAAAGCTATCAACTGATGAATGGATGAGCAAAATGCAGTCCGTGCAAAGAGTGGAATATTATTCAGCCACGAAAAAGAATGAAGTCCTACCATTCGCCACAGCATGGGTGGACCTGGAGGGTATTATGCTGAGGGAGAGACATCAGACAGAGAAAAACAAATCCCATATGGTTTCAGTCATATGTGGAATCTAAACAAAACAACAAAACAGGGGGCAGCCGAGTGGCTCAGTTGGTGAACATCACGCTCAAGCGTGTGAGCTCTGAGCAACAGCGGTTTGAGTCCCGGCCCGAGCTGAGCAGCCGCTGAGCTGCCAACAGGTGGCAGGATAGCTCAGCTATAAACAATAAATAAATAAAAATAAAAATAGAAAAACAACAAAACAGAAACAGGCTCACAGATACAGAGAACAGACTGGTGGTTGCCAGGTGGGAGGGGGTCAGGGGGCTGGGTGAAAACTGTCGTCTGATTTTAAAACAGACTCTAGACAGAGGGAATCAAGTTAACCTGAGGTCATGCAGGTGAACCCTAACCCCATAGCTGGTGTCCGGATCAGAAGACAACTCCAGAGTGCAGCCATGATGAGAAGCCAACAGTACGGAGGGTCCCCCAAAAATTGAAAACCAGGACCCAGCAATTCCACGTCTGGATATTTATTCCAAAACAACAGAAGCCAAGACCTCCAAGAGATATCTGCTGTGCCGTGTCCTCCCATGTCCCCCAACCTTCAGAGTAGCCGAGACTTGGAGTGCCCTGAGTGGCCATCGAGAGATGAATGGATCAAAAGTTGGATATATACGCAAGGGAATATTACTCGCCACGAACAGGAAATCCCGCCGTTTCTAACAACGTGGCTGGACCAGGCTTGAAGTCCACAGGCTGACAAGCAAAACAAGCCAGATGCAGAGAGGCAACTACTGTACGCTCTCACTTCCATGTGGGGTGTGAAACAGTAAAACTCACAGACACAGAGAACAGACACAGGGGCGGGGGTGGGGCGCAGGATATGGAGGGATGTTGGTCAAAGACTAAGCTTTCAGCTGTAGGATGAATAATGTGTGGGGACCTAACGTACAGCAAAGTGATGACAGCTAATAATATGGTGCCTATATCCTTGAGATTTGCTAAGAGCGTTGGCCTGAAGTGTTGTCACCGTCCCGTAAAGAACGGTTATACTGTGTGACGGGATGGCTGGTGGTGATCGCTTCATAATGTGCATTAAACCATCCTGTTAAACACCTGGTAGCACATCCGAGGTCGGCTCTGCAGGTAGCTGGAAGCCTCACTCTTGGCTGATACTAAGACCAGGTGGAGCTGGCCACAGGTAACTGTACCTGCAGGAGATACAGCGTCTCCCCTTACATTTGGAAAGGTGAGTCTCTTCTGGGCTCCGTCCCAGGGGAAGGGGCACGGGCTGTACGAATTTCCAGTTTCTACGTAGCCTCAGGTTGCCTGGCCCTCGTCAGAGTAGGGGATTCCTGCAAAGACTCCCAAGTCCTACGGGAGGTACAGGGAGGCAGACGCGGCTATAAAGAGCTTCGGACTGCTGGACACAAGTGAAGGCGGGACCGAGAGCCCTGGGTGTACTTGGGACGCCACTGCCGCTTGGTCGGGGCTCTGAATTACCCATGTCCCCAGCCTGTCCCCAGTCTTATCTCCTTTTTGCTCACTTGGCTCAGGGACAGAACGCAAGACGACACCACTGCTCTTAGTTTGCTCACTGTTACCAGGTCCGCTGCGGCAGGCGGGGAAGGGGAGCGCGGTGGCCAAGGAAAGATGGGATTCTCCGTCAAGGACAGATGTCACATGTTCAGGTGACCTCAATGCCCCACTGCCTTCCAGGGCACGTGTACGGGGGTGACCTGTGGCCCCCCAAGAGTCCTAAACCCCAGTGCGTATACATGGCATCGTACCTGGGAACAGGCGCTTGCAGATGTAATCAACTTGAAATGAGGTCATACTGGATTACGACGGGACTAACTCAATGACCGGTGTCCTTATAAAAGGAATGGGGCGGGGACGGGCACGTGTGTCACGTGAGCACACGGTGGGCAGGCCGCCTGAAAGCCAGGAAGGGAACTCCACCAGGAACTAATGGGCCAGCACCCTGATCTTGCATGTCAAGCCTTCAGAACAGCGAGAAATGAATTTCTTAACGCTCATCAATCCTGCGGGATTAGGACCCCCCTCTCGTGACCTCATGAAACTTTTATTACGTCCTAAAGGCATCAGCTCCTGATATCATCACATTGGGGGTTAGAGCTTTAACACACGGATTTTGGAGGGGTGCAATTCTGTCCATAGCATGGTTATATATTGATAATGACAATAATAATGGTGATGGTGGTGATGGTGCTGATGATGATGGTTATCGGATTGATAATGACGACAGAATAACAATAATGGCCATGATAATGATGGTGACTGTGGGGATCACAAAGGCAGAAGCACGGATGTCTGCTCAGCGCTTACTAGACACCAGGAACTGGTGTAAGGAAACACGTCCGAATGAGCAGACCCATCCATTCTCCCCGACAACCCTACGGGGTACGAACAGTTCTCCTTACTTCACAGACGAGCAAAGCGAGGCCAACAGGAGCAGTAACAGCCCAAGCTCACCAGCTTGGAACTATCTGGGGGCCGACAGAAGCAACTATCCCCTTAGGCACCTTTCATTCCCAACAGCTGCTTGCGGTGTTCCCGCTATCGGGAGCTCATGGGAATGGAGAGGAAACTGGCCTGGAAGCTGGAAGGTACTACCCCTCGGCAGCTGTGGCAACATCCTAACATCAAGTTTTCTGACTGTACAGCAATATTTAAAAGAAAAAAAAAACGCACTGGCACCATCTGAGGTCACTAACGCCCCAGGTCACGGTTTTAAAAACACGACGATCATGTGAAACAATGGAGCAGGCATCCTGCCTCTTGTCAAAGAGGGTATTTCAAGGTCACGCAACGGGCCGATGAGGGGAAGTGGGGTTTTTGTTTTGCTTTGTTTTGTTTTACTAGAAGAATTCCAGATAAGGAATGCAGGAGGGATGACAGCGTGAGAAGATCAGCATTTTGCCATCGCTCCTGCAATGCCAGAGCAGGGCACTGGTGGACCCTCTAGCCACAGGCTTAATGTTGGCTGGGCTGGTGACACTGGAGCTCACAGGGTGGCCATCTCCAGTCACACAGCACTTACAGGAGGACAAGGAGGAACCCTGGGCTTCTTGCTAGGATGCAAAAGCAACAAGGAAAACACAACACTATCTGTCACTCAGAAACGACAGGGAGGGAGAGAGAGACGGAGGGAGAATCCTGGATCTAATCAATCCATACAACTAACCACCAGTTTACAAGACGTACTGGGGACAGAGGAACGGAGGTAAACGACACTACGAGGAAGCAACCTGCCAAATCTAGACTGTAGGGTTTCCTATGGGGCAAGCGGTCCAGTGTATTTGATCAATAAATGGCAAAAAGAGAGGGAAAAACGTGAACTTGATGGATTAAATCAAAGTGAGACGCAGATCAGCCAAAGGCAAAGGAGAAACCTTGGTTTGCAGGGAAGAAAAAGACATTTGTTAGAGACCCTAGGATTTTGCGCGTTGGCTGGGTGTCCGCATGACATCAAGGATTTTTGTCTTTAATTTTGGAAGATGCCACTACACTGTCCAAGTTACTTTTTTAAAGTTCATTATCTGTTAGAGAGAGGACGGTGGGTACTAGCTTGAAAATAAATCCAGAAACAAAAACGCAAGAGGTAGAAAGATCAAATGAGGTTGCAAAGCTTTGATAGCTATGGAGGCTGGCTGGGTCAGAGGCACACAAAGATTTAATGTAAATGTTTTATCTCTACTTTTGTGTGTGTTTCAATGTTCGGTAACAATTGGAAAAGAGTGGGATGTGTGTTATCTGTAGCAAGATGCCCAAAATGAAAATCTGAAAGATAGTATTCAATTTAACATGTCCATTAAAAAAACAACAACAAAAACTACAGTAGAATAACTACAAAGGGTCTGTTCACAGAGGGAGACCCCCTATCAGAAAAGGAATGCTATGTATTCTACCTAGGAGATCAAATTTAAATATGTCAGGAGCTTCTCTTGACCATTTTAGAAAATCAACAATAATTGTATAGCTTGTCCCTAAATATTTTAGGAGGGCTCTTTTTTTTTTTTTGGTAAATAGAATGTATGCAAAACAGTTTAATACAAGAAAAATGAAAAGCAGAAAAAATACCAAATACATATTTTCTCAAACTACACTCCCCATGATTAGAAAGATGAAGTTCTTTCTAAAAACAATGTATCACGATGGTAACAAGGTTTTCTTTCCCAAAAGACAGCCTGTTCATTAAGTAAATTAATGGTTTGATGTTATGTTCTGAACTGACCTCATTTATTTCATCTTAAATGGATATAATGGACAGGAACATGGTTTGCCAAACTTATAATCAAGTGAGTATGTGAAACATTTTGTTGTTGTTGTTTTCCGGTTCATTGGAATCAGACTTCCAAATAAAATGAAAAAAAAAAACACAAAAAAGCAACGGTACAGCCTATACCACATGCTGCCAGTAGGGGGCAGCACAAATGCACCAATATTCTAAACTAAACCAAGTTGGGGAAAAAAACCCCACAAGTCTATGGAAAGGCCCCTCGTTTTTATGTGCTTTACTCTTAGAAATATAATCCATGAAGTTCTATAGGGGAAAATCTGATGGAATTTAACTGTATCACGAAGAGTTCACAGGGTGACCCGTTTCTAAAAGCCATCAGAGAGATAAGTCATTGAGTGAAAAACAGCCCCCTAAAATCAAGGTTTCCACCACAAATGCAGACGTTTCCACACAGGCCAACAGGCGTAAGTTTTCCAGGTCTGCCTGTCCCACCGGGAGCCCTTGAATGTGCTGAGGAGTTCAAATTTTAATCTAATTTAACTATTTAAAATGTAAAAACAAAAACTCTACGCAGTTACTGACACACGTTCAGGGATTTCTGGAGAGCTTCTGAATCTCCTTCTGCCAACTGTGACTGTTTCTGGACGCTAAATTAACATCAAGTATTTCTTATGAAAATTTGGTGCCCGGATTGAGACGTCCCGTGAGGATTAAACATGTGTCCTTGGGGTTTCCCAATCTTACGATCAAAAAATGCATGGAAACGCTCAACTTATTTATAGGGCTAGCTATGTTGAAAAGGTCGTACTAGGTATACATTGAATTAAATAGACCCTATTATTAAAATTACACTTATGTTTTACTTTTTAAAACACGATTACTTGAACATTTTAAATAAAATGTGAGGTTATTAGTACTGGACAGCGCTGTTGTAGATAAAGCAACATTTTAGGAACATTAATGGCTAAAATTGTCCAGAGCAACAATTTTAGGAGTGCACGTTATTATCAGCAGCTGCGATGGCCTTAGCAATATTAGCACAGTCTCTCTCTGGCTCTGTCTGGGGGGTGTCTCTCTTTAATGCCTAATTATACTAAGACCCTTTGGGGGGCAACTGGAGATACGAGGAAGTAAGCTTACATCTTATTAGGGGATGGAAGCGACAAGAAACACAACAGCAAAACCCCCAAACAAAACCAAACCCCTAGACAATTAGAATGTGATGGAAAGGACCAACATACAAAATAACAAAATTTCATCACTCACCCTGACACACTTCCCTTTTACTCATTTCTTGGAACTAAAAATCTAGAATTGCATTCAAATCAACTGTTTAGGGCCCAAGAGCAGTCCCCCCGGTGCCTCCTGTAAGGGGTGCTCCTGGCTTAAATGCATGGAGTTTAAACTACTAAGAGTGCTTTCCATCCGTCATTTTGCTTGCATGGCATCTCACGTTCATTGATTTGCGGATATTGAACCCACTTGCATCCCAGGAGTAAATCCCCTTCGATCGGGGTGTGTGATCGTTTGAAGACATTGCTGAATTTAGTTTGCTAATAGTTTGCTGAGGATGTGTGCTGCACACCTGAAACTAAAGCAATATTGAATGCCAACTGTAACTGACTAATAAAAAAAGTTTTTTAATAAAATATTAAGAGGGTTTCTTGTATTCTTTATAGTCAAGGCTGCATTATTCCTGAGGGACACAATACACGTTCCGCAGACCAAGGCACTAAAATTGAGAAAATGCAACGCCCAGGGCTTTGCAAGTGCGTTAGCCCCACTTAGGCTGAACACGGGGCTTTTATACGTTATGTATTATTTAATTATACACATTACTTACAAACATCTTTCCAATTCAATAGAGCAGTCTGGGTCACTGGGGTGCATTAAGCCAAAAGGTATTTGTACGGAACTGTGTAAGACTATTTTAGGTCACGATTCCGAATAAAATCAACTCTCTGCTTGATTTTCACAACGATGAGAACATTTGTCCCAGGAATTCCACTTTTGGAATTCGACATCCTAGTTTCAGAATGAATCCGAAACACAAATATTTACCGATGCATAGTGTACGTTCTCGGCCTTTATTTACATAAGGAAACGCTACAACCAGTTTTTGGTTCACCGAGTGGACTTTTTTTTTTTTGTTATTACAAGAAATAAAAAGCAAGATACCATTTTTTTAAAACGGCATAAAGGTGCCCTCGACATTTTTCAATGCGTACTCCCTTCTTGCAAAGATGGTGAACTAAGCAAATGCAGCTCTACCCACGCCCAAAACACAAGGGAAAACGACTTTAAGACACGTTTTAAGTGGAACCCACAGGAACTAAAGGGGGCGGGGAGAGAACACAGTACACTCTTGGAAGCTGCCCAAGAGATGCGCCAGGAAAGCTGGATGATGGGCAGACCTGAGAGTTGAAAGGGGTTGTCATCTGAGAATGGAAAATGTTGGGAGGGATGGAGAGACAGCTCCTTGACTCAAGGTACGTGCGTCTAATTTTGATAAAAAGCAAAGCTAACTTGAGCTATGTCACCTCACACCGGTCAAAATGGCTATCATCAAAACACAAGCAATAACAGGTGTTGGTGAAGACGTGGAGAAAAGGGAACCCTTTTCTGTTGGTGGGATTGCAAACGGGTGCAGCCACGATGGAAAACAGTTCCTCAAAACATTAAAACTAGGACTAGCATGTCCTCCAGCCGTTTCACTCCTGGGTGTTTATCCAAAGAAACTGAAATCAGGGTCTCAAACAGATGTCTGCACCCCTGTGTGCACTGCAGTTTCATTCACAAAAGCCAAAACATGGATGCAACCTAACTGTCCAGTGGGCAGTGAACCGATCAAGAAAACATGATATATGTGCAATGGACTCTCATTCGTCTATACAGCAGAAGGAAATCCTGTCACTTGGGACACGCTGGATGAGCCCAGAGCACACGACGCTAAGGGAAGCAGATCACCCAGAGAACGGGCGGAAACGGTCACTTACTTGTCTACCAGTTTCTTGGCGAACCCGAAGTCGGTGAGCTTGATGTGACCGTCTCGGTCCAGGAGGATGTTTTCCGGCTTCAGGTCCCTGTAGACGATTTCTCGGGAGTGCAGGTACTCGATGGCACACACGATCTCGGCCGAGTAGAAGAGCCCGGCGTTGCTGGAGAACCGCCCTAGGTTCCGCAGGTAGCTGAAGAGCTCCCCGCCGGGCACAAACTCCATCAGCATGTACAGGAAGCGTTCGTCGTGGCACGTCCAGAACCTGCGGGGACACGGCGGTGGCTGAGAGACGCGGGGGGCAGGGGTGCGCAGGTGACAGGATGTGGGCACGGGGGCGCCTCAGGATACGGGTATGTATATGTAGGTATTCACACGTGGAGACAAGCAAACATGTGTACGGACTGATGTGCAGACCCGGTACACATATCAGGGGTGTTTGTAAACGTTAACCCACGGCATACACAGAGGTTATGTGAACAGAAAATAGTAAGATATGGGTATCCTGTTAGACATGCGATGGCCTCGTAATAGAGAAGAGTAAATTCCATGTTTAGACAATAAACTGGCTAACAGCTTGTTGTGGGCTAAACTGTGTCCCTAAAAAGACGTACAATGAAGCCCTGACCCCCAGGACCTCAGAATGCGGCTGTGTTTGCAGATGGGTGACGAAGGTGACATGAGGTCACTAGGGTGGGCCCTGACCCATTAGAACTGTGTCCTTATCAGAAGAGGAGGTGAGGACACAGACACACACAGAGGGACGGCCATGTGAGGACACGGGGAGCAGACGGCCATCTGCACGCCCAAGAGAGAGGCCTCGGGGGGACCAGCCCTGGGACACTGGATCTCGGACTCCAGCCTCCAGGACTATGAGAAAATAAGTCTGTTTTTTTTTCTTAAGCTGCCCAGTCTGTGATATTTGTTTTGGCATCTCCAGCAAATGCACACACAGTGGGCACGTCTTCAGGGACCCAGTGCTGTAATCACGCCTGGAAACTTACAGTAAATGAATGCGCTGCCTCTCCAACACCTGCGAGGAAGAGGTGGCCATTACCGAACGAAGCCCAGAGTAAGAGGTTTCTGGGCCATTAACGGGTAGGACCTTGCCCGAGAGAGTCAGGAGGGATGCAGTGTCCTTTCAGAGGCTCCATTAGCTCCATTAATGGAATAAAAGGCAGCAGCAGCAAAGATCAAGGCAAAACAGTGTGGTGGAGAGAAAGAGGGGAGCAGAGGCTGAGCCCCATCGGTGTTTGAGAAGTTTTGGGGCAAGGGAGGTAAGCGTTGATGGAGAAGGAATGTTTTCACGTAGGGGAAACCCAGGATCAAGAGGACAGAGCTTTGGAACGGAAGGCCATGTGTTTAGAGCATTCAGAGACACGAGCACGCCCACGAGAGGGGTCATCTGGTAAGAGCCACCCTCAGGCATGGGGACACACAGGGCGACGCGAGCCCAGATCAGGCCACGGGCGCCAGGGACGCCCTCACATTCTCTTGGGTCATGACGATACGGCCGCTGCGTTCCTGCAAAGCTGGCCCAGTGCCCAGTGTCCAGCTGGGCTTCGCCGAAAACCAACGAAGCCCAAGGAACCGGCCATCGTATGAGGCGGAGGTTCAGGGCACCGTCTACCTTCCAGAGGGTCCTGCCCGCTGGGATGGGCCACCCAATCCAATAAAGCGAGATCAAGACCGAGCTTTGGGGGAGGTGGCTTGCAAGGACCGGAAGGTGCACTGCAGGGAAACGCGTCAGGACAGCCACACTGTGCTTCCACGGATGAGCTGAGAACCCAACAACGGTCTCAGCGCCCCGGTGCGGAAATAGGGTCCAGGCTCCCAATAACGCCTGACTGGTGAACCTCTACGAGCCGCTCTGTAAACTGGTGACTGTCTGACCTCCACGGGGCACGGAGGGTGACCCAGTTAGTGACAACGCACCAGGGAGCTGGTGGAGGTGGCATTGCGCCCTTGAGAAGACCTTAACTGGTCCACACTACCCAAAACTGGGGCTACCGTTTCCTACAGCTGCGAATTTGGTTGAAAAGGTAGAAGACCACACAGGACCCCCTTAAATACGTGAACACAGACGCACACACACACACAGATGCACTCTCTCTATCAATTAACACACACCCATTCTTTACAAAAATCCTAGAGCCAGACCTACTGATCCCCACCAGGCTATAATCGGCTCAAGTCCTCTCCGAACTCTTGGAAACAATGCCGCACCACGTTGCAATGCCACCTCATGTCACCCTTCACGGCCGCCAGGGACATGAGTAACAACGGGAGGACGTCAGGACACGGCCCAGAGAGGCTCAGCGTAAGGCGTGAGAGAAAGCGCCTTCAGGACTAAGGCGCCCAGTGGCGTGTGCTGCTCCCTAACAACGGTGTGGGTGGGGACCAGGTGACCCCGGCTGCAGCAGCCGCTCCAAGATCTCAGGTTTGGTCACCTGGGGTCCAGCTCAGTTGCAATGTCACCCACACACATCACACACACAAGCCATCAGTCGTCGTCAGCACCCTTGAGAAGTGAGTAGGAAACTACGGCTATGAAATAATAATTCCTGACGGCCCCGATTTACACGTCTTTCTCCAAATCACTAACGTCAAGTAAATATCATGAGGGAAAAAAAAAATCCTTTAGCACATCCTTCCGTGAAATCTCCCTCAATAAGACTTTTCTTATATGGAGAGACTTTGTAAAGAGTTGGGTGTTTTTCGTGATTAAAAACCAAAATATTCAAAGAAAGACGACGTTACCATCCCTGGAAGGTTTACAAACATCAAGTCGCCACTTGGGGCTTCTGGGCTGACAAGAAGGAGTCTACGTGGCCACAAATAAATGAAAACCTGAGTTTAGAAAATGAGGAACAAGATTTCTTGCACTGGCCCTTCCGTTGGTCAAATACTTGTCATTACGGGGAAGGCACGGTGCATTGCACTGAGTCGATAAAAAATAAAAACGCAAAGGCTCAAAGAGTGACAGGGTTTACCACAAGTGACAAGGCAACGAGAGGCGTGTTCTGAGTTTGGGGGTCTCCGTGGGCCTTATCAGTGTTACTGACCATCATCATCACCCCATCACCACTCCTGAACCCCATTGTTCACTGACCTCCACCACTCATTCGCCCTTTTTGTCCCTGAGTGGGTCGAGTTTGGCCAAGAACCCGCTCTGCGCCGGGTGACGTCCCATCTTGGACGTACAGTGATGGGAAGGGCAGCTCCAGCCGGGGGTGTCCTGAGCCGTGGGGGTGATCAGGGGAGCGGACGCTAAACACTCAACACAGGATACCGGGTGGGGTCGTGGCAAGAGCGGGTCTTGGGAGGACCTGGCGGCAGGATGCACCTCTGCCCAGGGGAGACCAGGGAGGGACGTGCAATCGGGCTGGAACGCGAGGCCCCCCTGGCGCCGTGGAGACAGGGCGGGGAGCCTTCCTCGTGCCGAAGGTATGAAGGCGGAACCTCGGATTCCGGGATAGCAAAGCCGAGAATGGCTGAGTCTGACTTTTCAAGGCAGACGCAAGCCCCAGCCTGGGGTCAGGAGTGGACGAGCCCCCGGGAGGCCACCGAGAAGAACGGAAGGGGACCCGGATGAACGGAGGAGGTGGCTTCTGGGAAGACGCGACCGAAGCGGACAGGCTCTGAGATGTGGGTACAACAGAAAAGGGCAGGACCCCTGACAGAGTGAATGCACAGGCGGAAAAGAGGAAACCAAACGTGGCGCCCCGATGGGGCGCAGGGGCTGGGAGGCCATTTCGGGGGAGCTGAAAGGGGGGCCATGTGGGGTCTGAGGGACCAGGAGGAAGGTGAAGAATTTGGTTTTGGACATAAGGACCTTGAATGGCCTGTGAAGCGTCATGAACAGAATGGACCCGGGATGAATCCGACGTGGACGTCTTGCTCAGAAGGCCGCAGGCGCTGCGGCAGGACCACACCTCAGCGGGGGGCTTCAGTCTAAACTAGGGAGCACGCCTGGTCATGGGGACAAGGGCAGGATTTGGGGGGGGCACATGCACACATGCCTGCCCCCTACCGTCTGCGCCTCCACCTTGCACGGCCCAGCCTCTGTCCACGGGAAAGCGAGGGTGTCCGGCCGCACCTTCAGCACGTCCTCATCCCCGAGCGTGCATCCCAGCACAACACCCGAAAGCGCCCTCCACGAAAACGGAAGACGCAGAACTCGCTGCTGACAATGCACGCGAGCAGTTGAAAGCTGGGACTGGATCAGACAGGAGTACCCGAGAGTCACAGCTGCGTGACTCACAGCAGCCAACATGTGCAAAAAGCCAAGTGTCCATCCACGGATGGACAGATAAGCAAAGATGGGGTCCATCCATCTGCAGTGAAATAGTATGCAGCCAGAAAAAGGACATGCTGACCGCTGCTGGGTCATGGATGAACCTTGAGGGACACTATGCCACGTGCAAGCAGCCACACACAGACGACAAAGACCGCGTGGTTCCAATTACAGGAGTTCCCCAGAGGAGCAGACGGTGGTGAGATGGGGAATGTAGTGTTTCATGGGGACACAGTCTCCGTTTGGGAAGATGACATACCTCTGGAGATGACAGTGGGGACGGTTACAGAATCACGTGAACGTCCTTGAGACCACTGAACTGTACACCTAAACATGCTGAAGGCAGACACTTTTACCACAATTGAGAAGCTAATTAACACGGCCGACGTGTCCACACGTGCACATGAACCTATGAAGACAGAAGCAGCAGACAGACTGCAGCTTGCAATGCCTCAGGACGCACAGGAGGTTTCCAACCCGGGCCCCTCTGCCTGGCTGGGTGACGCCCGCTCAGAGCAGTTCTCTCCATCGGCAAGAATCACTTTCTATCTTGCTCCCTCTTCTATTTGCAGAGGCTGAGCCGGGGGGCCCCCACCCTACGGCGTTTTAAGGGACATGGAAGTGAGCCACACCCATCCGCAGAGGCCTCGCTCAGCATTTGCTGTCGCATCTCCAACTGCTGCAATCCAGCTGGACGTCTGCCACGACGGAAGAGAAGGGGAGACGGCCCCGTGCCGCCCTATCTCCTCGGCCCCATCTGTCCGTGCAACCTGAGGCTCTGGAACGTTCCTTCTCCTTTCCGAACTGGCTCCGTGGTCACCAGCCACCTCCCCACACCTGGGTGACCTGGGCTTACTCCCTCCCACCCACCTCACGGGCGTCTCCTGCTCCTGTCACCCACCGCGACTCCATCTGATGACGCCCACCAACGACAGTCACGCTTTCTTCCAAGGCTGCTGCCCCCTGCT